CTGCAGATGCAGCAATGCTGTAAGAGCAGGGTTAGCTTGGAACTTTGCTTACAGCAATCCCAGACCACTGGAATGAAACAAATCTGTGCAATAGCAAGGATCTTGACTGTCATCACTTTTCCAGTAATAGAGAAAGCTATAAATTCTAGTGGCTAAATTATTGGCTTCAGAAGTAAATTGGATTGTGTGTGGGTGATGATTGAGAAGCCAGAGTTATGAACAAGATTCAGTGTCCTTTTTAATGTCATGTAGATTGTCAGAACTCATTCATTGATCACAAAATTAATTTGCAAAGGACAAAATAGCAGAAAAGGACAAAAAGCGCTAAAATAAATAATATGCAGTGCACACAATAGATTTTTTTAAAATTAAAATGCTTTGTGGTATTTCTACACACTGAGCAACTACTAAGATTTGTGAGGAGTTACTTATAGAAGAAAATGCAACTCTGTTAAGAAAATAAAGATGAGGAGCAATTACATGCTTACAAAAATCACTGAAAGAGTCTGAAGTAAAAACAAATACAAAACACTGATTAGGCTGAAGTATTGTCTGACTCCTAAAAGACTTTGATTATAACTTGCCACTGTGTTAATTTGCAAGTGAATTATTGCAATTATATATATTCATTTTTGTGAAAAAGGGTAAAGAACCACATATTTCCACTAGATTGTTGTATCTATTTACTGTTTAATCTGGACAGAATCTCTATCAATTCTAGAACTTGAATGTCTGTAATTATCATAATACCAGGAAATGTGGATCACAGCAGGCATCTCAGTTTACCTCTTCTAGCTAAGTGTACCATGCCAGAGCTCCTAAACACTTTGTTCTGCCCCCTCACTTCCCCTTCAGCACTTGGAGCTCCTGACTGGAGCCTGGAGTGGATGTCAGGGGCTGATACAGTAATCACAGTGTTCCCACACTGAAAGCCTTACCAGAGCAAGGTTCAGGAAGGCTCTTCCATGGTAAATGTTGAGATTTACTGACAGAAGCATCTGGTAATTCTCGTACATCTTTATCTACCTATATCTCCTTCACTTTCCCTCTACTGCCCCTTTTGGGTTGGTTTATTGCTTCCATCTTCCACAGATCACTTACGTGTCTCACATGACATCTCTTCCCTCTGTAGTGTTGAGATCTTTACCTTGTCTCTTCACCCCTTCAACATCCTCTACTGTTGCTCTGCTGTCCTTTGTCTATCCCTATCCCTTCTTGATTTCAAATCTGGTAGATTATGTACTTTATTTTTACTGCCTTTGATCTTGAAAATCTTTATTCAAATTACTTAAATTACCTGCTGTTTGTAATTTCTTTTTGTGTCTACCCTATAAATGCTTTATGTCCTTGCAGAATGATGATGTCATCTGCATGCTTGGATTTAGCAGGGAAGTGATGGAAAACACTGTCTACTTCCATAGCTGTAAAATAGGTGTCTTTTTCTCTTTAAAAAATGCCACAGTGCACTGAAGATCTGAAGAAAGCCACACAGGATATGGCAGAAAATGTAGACATTTCCCTAATTTGCATTTTGGGAAATTGGGAAAAGAATCCTTACAATTGGATATAGAGAGACAGGTTTAGCCTTGTGTCCTGGGAACACCTCTCATGCTAATGAAGCAACACGAGACACTGCAAGCTTACAGAAACACTCTGACAGGTCCCTGTGTTCAAAATTGAACGTGCTTACCATTCAGCTGCCAATGCCCCACTTTTTTCCACCTCCTCTGGGAGGATTGCACTCCAGACAGCTCACCAGAACCTGTTTTTTTTTTTTAATCTAGCAAAGGCTCTGTAGTGGTGAGTGGCTCTTGGGAAACTGAACAGTCCAAAGGGACTTAAGTGTGTTAATGAGCATTAGTTAGTATTTAAATATGACATGGTTGCAGTTAAATGCCTGCTCGTTTATTACATATTTTTCAAATGGCTTACTTTTTTGCTAAAATTTTGATGCTTTATTTGGAAGAAGAAAGATTGTGTACTGTGCAGACTGAAGGAAGTATGTCTAGGTATGTAGTCACTCAGCTTTTTCAGAGAAGAGTGACTCTGCTGATCATTTGTTCAGGAATGATTTTTAATTAGGCAGCAATGTCCTTCTCACTCTGCAAAGAAAAAAAAGGTTGAGAGCTGTAAAGCAAAAGTAGATCATGCTGCCTGAGCACTGCAGCCCACGGTGCTGCCTGCGGCACCAGTGCTGCTAGCTCAGATGTGCTGGACGACTCCTTGGGCGGCTGGGTGGGAACACCGTGCACAGCTCCAGCACCTCACACACACAGCGATAACCTGTGTGCTGTCTCATCTTGTAGCAGCCAGTTCTGCCAAAATTCAGCAGAGCGATGTGAAACAGCTTCTCACCCACAAGCTGAGATGAATCAGGAGGGATGGCTGTGCTATATATACAGAACCCACTCAGCTGAAACAAGTGAGAGTAGGGAAAGGATTTAAATCCTGGCAGGGTAGATATTTTTGTCTCTGAATAAAATGAAGTATTTATAGCATTTACTGACACAATTTTTATTTACTGCAATTGAAGCCATTGTTCAAACCAGTTTTTTTTTTTCTTTTGTGAGCCAGCAAAAAAGGATTTTTTGAGAACTAGAGAACATTGTATATTCCCAAAATTGAACCTAAATTCCGATGAAGAGAGGGAGGAGGGATCTTCCATCTATGACTATAATTCAGAGAACACAGTGCTCTTAACAGTCTCCTCTATCAATACACTTGAACACAGTTATTATCACCATGAGCTGCTGTGTAATTACCGTTGTTCCCTAAAGGGTTCCTCTTTCTTTGCTATTTAATTATTTCAGCATAACTATGCAATTTACTCATGTCATTTGGAAACAAATGTTTCAGGGAAGGCAGTGTTTTATCACAAGGATGTCATAGTCAGGGCATGGCTGCTATAAAAGTATACAAAGTCATTTCTTGGTCTAACCCACCACTGTCTTCTGGATGAATCATACAGACACAGCAGTTCATACGTCGGTCAAGGCCAATGCCTGAAATAGTTGTGGATATCATTTGTGTGACAGACTCTCAAGAAACTTTAGTGCCAACAGAAGTGGGAAGGTAAAGATGTTTAGTAAATTTTTCTCCTTGGATCCAGCTACACTAAGCATATGTGTTGCCAATGTAAGAGCCTTTTTCTAGGGAATATTTCTAAATAAATCTCAGTTCTGGGGAATCACTGTTTAACTCTTGTCTGTTTTGCTGAGCTCAGTTTTCATATAACAGCCATAATTGTAGGGTCATGTAGCTTTTAACTTTTTATTAAGGATTTATTCTGCTAAAAAAAAAAAAAAAGGAAAAAATGTGACATGCAACAGCTCCTGTAATTTCTGAGCTGGAAGATTTTCTTGTGGTATTTCTTGTAATTTTCCTGCAGTTAGAGTTTATCAAAACACTCCTGAAACTCTGTTCTAAGGAAGTTCATTGTTGAGGCATGTTCAAATGAGCATTTTAGCATTATTCTGAGAAAGAGGGGACAAGTAAAAGGCCCCGACGGCCAAGCCACTACAGCAGGCATGTCTGGCAGCAGCTCAGATGAGAAGCTCACTGTAATATGGGCAGGATTTATCCCAACCATACTTAGGAAGTCAAGTGTATTTGTACTTGTGCTTTGTAATTTAAAATTGCTCCTTTCTTGGTGTTGGAGGTGGGAAACAGGGCAGTTTCAAAACAAGACCTAAGATATCTGGATTTTAGAAATGAACAATTTAGTAAAAATTTTGATGTGAAAAGGGAAAGAGTCATGGTAAAATGTGGACATCTCTGTCAGAGTCATCAACTCCTGGCATGGGGGCCTGGAAAGCAGGAGCGTTGAGATTACACCTTGCAAAAAGTGAGGGTGCAATATTAAAATCATAAAATCTTTTAGGTTGGAAAAGATCTCTTGAGATCATTGAGTCCAGCTGCTAACCCAGAACTGCTCAAATCTACCACTAAACAATGTCCCAAATCTACAAGTCTTTTTTAGCATGCACCGTGTCCTGGGATGTGTATTACTGAAAGGTGTTTAAGTATGTATAAGCATATTTTATTATGAAATAGTAACAAAATGAATATACTGAGGAGACTGGATGATATCAGCATGTGCCTGAGATACAATATTCTGTCACTAATAAACTGTGAGCCTTGCTTTGTGTGAAGTTCTTAACGAGTGCTAGAGCAGATCCAATCAAGAAGTAAGACCAAGGTGTGATGGATGTAAAGGGTGTATTTATATATTCATGACAAAAAAATCCATCAAAAAAGCCTAGAGAATTGCACACTGTAAACATGATGACACTTTTCCCTAAAGAAATAGATAATAGTCCCCATCAAAAAAGAAAAACTTGCAAAATATTCTGATTGAATGTAGTAACAAATCTTACAGAAGTGTCTGAAAAATAATTTAGAAAATCTTAGATTATTCAAAAGAAGCTGCATGCTTTTTTAGTTTGGTTTTAGTATATATACAGGCAGAGTTTTTCCCTATGGAAGAGAGAAACCTTTGAAAACAATGTTGCAATAATGATTATATTCAGTATTTTAAAGGAAACTCATAAAAAATAAAACCACCTTTGTGAAGGACCATTTATTGCATAGTAAAAGTTTAAAATAGTGATATACTAGACAAAATTAATCTGAAAGAGATGCATGAACTTCAGTTTCACTGTGGTCTTCTTTTTACAGACTTTGAAGTCATGAATTGAAATGTAGTATTTACTGAGATGGAGGATAGAATCCAGAAGTGTAAAAAAGGATGTTCAGTTTCAATATTTACCATATTATACTATCACCAGAAAATCTCAGTACTCTGAAACAGAGAGCTTTCTGAATAATAGAGATAATTTATTTAATCCAGAAATTCTGATGATACAACTATTATTCAAAAGATTCTCTCCTATATTAACTCTAAAGTATTCAGTTTAGTCACATAATCTGCCAGGCCAAATATGATATGAGATAAAACCTTATGTCAGAATTATTCACTCTCTCTTCTTTCTCTATAACAGGCATTTTTAGTTCTCTGAGTGATGGTATTGCAATGCACAATTCCTTTTGAGATAATGGCAGAACAGAAGATATCCATTTGTTTTTTCATCTATCATCTTATTATACCTTGTTTTGTCTACTCCCTGGCAGGTAAGATGATCTCCTGTGTTAATTCATTTAAGTAACTGTTGTTTTATGTGTTTCAAGGACAATCAGAATGTTTGTATGGCTTTATTTTATTTGTGCAGGTACACCAAATTACTTAATGTGAACAATTAAACTGTCAGGAAGCATATTTATTAGACTGCCTGCCATAGTAAAAAGTTTGGAAAAAGACAGATAGGGACTTTAAATTTGGCGTTCTCTAATTTGATATACAGAATTAAATCTTTTTCTAAATTGTAAAAAGTATATAAATTGCCTGTTGTGCACAGATTATCAACATGTTTAGAATAATGAAAAACAAAATTCTATATTATTGACACCATCTCGTAATTTTTCAGAAGCCCAGTGTAGTGGTAGTTTTCATAATACAGTAGGGCAGTTCTGCATATTCTGACTTCAATTTATTATTGAAAATTACAACATTTTTCATAAGTAGAGGTGGGGCATAGATAATAAAACATTCTGGAGTCATATTTATAGCATCTGCATTTAGAGAAATGTTTGCAATTGAAATTCTAGTTCTATTTTGAGAGATAGAGGGAGGTCTGTGAAAAGGCAAAATTCCAACTGTTCCTAACAACTTTGAGATTTGTAAAGCTTGTTTCAGATTTCCATGCCAATTTAAATGAATGCTGGGTTTTACTTGCTGGCATGAATTTTAGGCTAGCATAAACAGAGCATGCACAAAATATTGACCAATATTTGAAAAGTGCCAACATTGTGTACTAATGTTTTGGTTCACTTCAAGGTAGGCTTTAGATCCTTCCCTACTTTGAAGGTCACAGACTTGCTTGATCTGGGATATCATTTCAGGCATTGCCTCAATTCCACTACCATGAGACTGCATTCCTTTTTACTGAGTCAAAAAATCTGATTTATATTGTGACATAAGCTCATTGCTTTTAAGAAATTAGTCCAGAGCTCACAGGGATGATTTCTGGTTTAGCAGAAACATTATTTTATTCTGTAGTTTTGAATGCTGTTCTATACTCCATGTCTGAGTTGGATGGAGGATTTACTGATGACTAATAAAAATCAATACCTTCACAATATATTTGCTGTGTATTTCAAGAGGTTTTTTTCGTTAAGATATGAGGCTTGCTGATAGTACCAAAATTAAAACTTTAAACTCACCAATTTAATTCAATACTGTCCTTTTCCTGAAAGAATAAAAATAATAACGAAAAAGACTGTGAAGTGCTATCAGTAATGTTACACACATGATTTTGCTGTGGACCTGTTGACATCAAACAAAACCTGCAGTAGCCAAACAAGTGCTGGATACTGGTTGATAAAAGAGCTGAGTCAATCAAGGTGAAAAAATGTTCAGGTAATTTCTTGACAGGCAGGATCAAATTATTAATGTTATTGTGTATTCTGCACATAACTGTTGTGCCCATTAGCCAAAAAAACCTTGGCACCAGAACATAGCTGCTGGCAAGTGCCTGAGAATTGGATTGGAAGGTGAGTGCCATGAGGGTCACAACAAAGTGACATAGAAGAACAAAGGGGCTATCGTGACACTGCGTGCAGCCTGAGTACACACACTGTCATAGCAAGGCTTGTTTGATCTCTCACTGGACTGCTCTTGGCACTGTTAGATTCCACAAGATAGGAGCCATTGGTGTGAAGGATTGTGTATCCAGGGCAGGTTCTAATAGTGCTGTTACTGCTCAAAGAATTTTCCTATTTTCTCTCATGGTATGGAATAAATACTTGCTTGCATTTTACATCAAAAGCCAAAGTTAAGACTTGTGACCATCTCTAAAGGTATGGCACCGCCCTCCAATGTGGAAGATTCCTAGTTTCATATAATCAGAGTGTGTTTGTTACAGCCAGTGTATTACTGCAAGGCTGAGTTGTGCACACACTCTCTGCTCCTGGACTTGCTCTATTTTGCATAAATCATTAAATAACCTTTTGAGTGGAGAGAAAATCTGCTTCTATCATCTAGGGTTTATGGCACCCATCTAGGTTATATAAATCTGGTGCTGCAGTCTTTACTCAGCCTCAGCACTTGAATCTTGCTGGAGGCTTTCTCATTTCAAATGGGTGTGAGAGCTGCTGGCAGTTAGTCTTAGCATATTTTCCTTTTGAATATATTTCTTGGCAATGAAAATGCCATTGTATCCAGAAAATATGTATCTGCAGTAACCAAGATGAAATGTAACGGGTTGCTTGGAAGTGTTCTGTGTGGTTAAAAAGTGAAAGATACTGAAGAGAAGGAAGGAGCACAAGTAGAGTGTTCAAGTTAAGTTCTAGGAGGTGTTCTTTCACACATGATATCAAGGGGAATTCTGGCAGTGTCAACAGTAAGGGAGAATATGTAACCTGGGGACAGTTTTTGAGTAAAGATCATGAGTTCTCATTTAAATAGAAAGACAGACCACATTCCAGAGTGAAGAGACCAGTTAACTGGAAGCAGATGTTGAAAGCAGAGTATTTAAGAAGTTGTTTTAGCACCTTTTAACAAAACACACTTTCTCTGGAAGTATATTTGTCTCCTCTTGCCTTCTGTGGTGCTGGATCCACAATTCTAGGTGGTTCTAATCTGTAAATTGCCTTCGGCAAACTCATCTGGGACTCTGTAGTGTAGTTTTGCGGTCTGTGCTCCCTAAACAGACTAACTGTGATATTAACTGCTCTGGACCCTGGAAACTGATAGCTTGCAGATACATTGTGTTTTGAGATGCCTTACCCTATGGGTGTCCCCAAGTTCAAAGATATCAGCCAAAAAACCTGAAAGTATTCAGAATTCATGTACTTGGCTGAGTGTTAAGAGCTTTCAGACTTTAACAGCTAGAAGGATTTGGGAAACAGAGAGCTGGCAAGCTGAAGCTGCACTGACTTGAGATGTTCAGAATTGGGCCTGAAGTGATGACAGGTATTCTGAGACTCTATAAGTTGAAGGGTTTTATTTGTTTTCAAATTGTTCTTCTTCTCACTGCAGGAAATTCTAAAAAAATTTCCCCAAGTGAAACACAATTTTTTAAGAAATTTAAAGTTTACTTTGGAGTTTGCACCTTAATTTTTTTAGCCAGTTCTATTTTGTGGTAATCAAAGGCAGAAATTGAGAACTGTTGCATTGACTGTCCATTTCTCATCAGTGGTGAATGTGCACTTACTTAACTGGAGGGAAGCAAAGATTTTATGAATCAGTGCATCAGAGGTATAGGCAGAGATCATCTTCTGCAATGAGACAGGAGCAGTATTTGTTTTCCAGGTAAACTAGTGCTTGAAATGTAGTCTTGCAGATATAAACCAGTGAAAAAGCCATAAATAATTTGGTCTTCAGCTTACTGAAAGAACAAGACAGCTGTTACAAGGGTTGCTTTTCAGAGTGCACTTTGAGTAGTGCAAGGTAAATGAGAGCAGCAAATCACTCCTCAGGGAACATGTCAGTGATTGTCAGTCCACTGCCAAAAAAGTTATTTGATGCCTATTACTGATAATATTTGACTCTTCTTCACTTCCCCCTGACATTTCTCCAGTGCTCTTCCAAGTTGCCTTTGACTCCCCATTAGATTCCTGTCCTGTTGCTAGGTCTGAATTTCAAACTTTTCTGTTATCTACTACTTTCCATATAAATCATTGAACTAAAGTGTATCTTCACTTGGGATAATAACCTATCACCAAAAGAATTAAGACTGTTTTTCAGCTACAGCTTGTTTTGTTCTTGCAAAAGACTAATCAAAAGCTGCAAAGACCCTGTATTTTATTGTGCTTAATGAATAGTAGATTACATTTGGCTTTGAAAGGAATCCATAGTGAAAAATGTCCCTCTGATGATTTATTTCTCATAAAACTGTTCTACTTTTTGCTTTGGGATTTGATAGTGAGAAGCCAGACAGTATCTATGAGTTTAGGTCAGATCATGCCTTAAAAGGCAGCTTGTCACTCTAGTAAACTATTCTGAATTGTGCAAAATGAGGCAATAGTCCAGGAGTAAAAATGTCAAAAGCCCTTCTGCTTTTTAGGCTACAAAATTTCCAAAAATCACAAGGAACTGAAACTGTAGAGAAGGCTGGTGAAACAAGAAAGCCAATAAGATGCAGAGCCGCTCAGTGCAAGGCAGTTATTTTAATGAGTACATGGGGATGCTGTTAGACAGCATGCTGAATTTCTGAGTGTATTTCTGGTATTTCATGTGCACCAGGAGGGCTTGTGCAGGGAGATTGTGCAGAATAACTAATGCACTTTAGCTTCAACCCTAATTTGCTGGTCACTGGTTTTCCCATGGGATCAACATGTTGGGCTCTTCAGTCACTTTTGAAGTAACACTTAGATTTTCAAGGAAGAGCCACCTAAAAATTTAAATATTGAATAGGAAAATGGGGATGTGTTTAAAATACATTAATTGGTATTGGCTGACATTCCTCTTAGCATTATGAGAAGACAAGAAAACTGTACCCTGTTAGGCACAAGTGGAGAAACTTGCTCTGCCAGGGGCTGGAGCTTTTCATACTTGAAACTTGTTATAAAGGAGAAACTACATCATTAACTATGTGGCTTTTCAATGTCCTCACTGGCACATAGGATATAGAAATAAATCTCTTGCTTCTTTGGGTCCAGAAAAATAGAGGCAGCCTTCCCCAAAACAGTCTTTCATATCATATGAAGTGAGAGTGCTGGAGTGGTTACCTTTTCTGTTTGAGTGCTGGCTGGCTCTTGGTAAATGATCTCCCTTTAGCCTCTTGATGACTTACATTTATGATGTGCCCCTCTCTTCTCCATCATCATGATGCTACATTATGAAGTGTTTTAACATGAACACATCACTGCATCGGCACATAAGCTTCCCATGAATGCCAAGTACAACTTTCCCCACATGATTGAGAGAAGTAGATAAAACAATCAAGCCCCCAAACCTTAAATTATTCATGCTTGGACATTTTCCAGAATAGTAGGTTCAAGAAGGCATTTCTGAAGTAAGGACTAGAATCTACATTATTTAAAGCTTTTTATCACAGCATACAGAATTATTCACATTCTCTAAGAGAGATAATTTTCTTTCAAAAAAACAGAAGTGGATGAATATACTTGATATACTTAATGTTTACCTTGTCTGTCTTAACCCTGCTTGGATCTTAGAAGACTATTTCATGCTACTGTCAAGTGCTTGGCACTCATAAATAAATAACCATAATGTGTTTGGTGATCACAGTGCTCAGAAATGTGGAAGTGCACTGCTTATGTTCCTGCACACCTGGTAGAGATACTTTGGCTCATTCCCAGGCCATCTTGTTTCTGAGCATGAGCTTCTCAGACACCAGTGGATCCTCATTTCTCTAACATATTGAAAACAGTACAAGATCTACTTCTAAATATCAAATGGTTTCTGGTCTTGCAAGACTAATGCAGGGCCTGACAGCTTAGTTAAACTGATAATGAATGACTCCAAGGCTCTTACGTTCAGCATCCTTTAGCACTCAAGGTTAATCTAGCCATGCACCATGTTAACAGATCTTTGTCCCTCTCTCATGTTAAAATATGTAACTGGATACAACACTTTCGAGTAGATCAATATTCACACCCAACGACTGTCTCAGGCAGGCACTTTTGGCAATATTAAGTGCCAGAGAAATAGATAGGTGCACAGGAAGCAGAAATAAAAGAGGACTCATTAGAAAATGTCACAGAGAATGGATGACAGGACCACCTTCCATAGGGAAAGATTCCTGTACAGGATCCATAATCTCATCACTTGAGAAAAGATTTTCTTGACCTTTGCACAAACTTCCTAATACATTTTAGCACTATTTAAAGGTCTGAGACTTGTTTTCAGTATTCACTGAAGAGTGCCTCCAATAGTCAGGTGATAGCTTCTGCTCCAGTTTAAAATACAAATCACAAGAAATTTACCCATAACATAGGGCACTGTTTGAGAGGTCATATAGTCCATCCTCTTGTCTAAAGCAGGACCCAAACATAGGAAATGTGCTCTTCATCACATCCTCAGTTTGCCTAATATATCCATTTTCTTCTTCTTTCTCTACTTCTCTTTTTCATGTAGGAACAACTTCAGTGAGCTGGTGGTTTTCTTTGTACTCTTAGTCTTCCCTTCGTCACCCTCCAAACTTTGTCACAGTCATGGTACTTCACTTAAAGTGTGAACATTTCTAGCAGATCTTTTCATGACCCCTTTCTCTTCTCTTTTCTCCTATGTACTGTTTCATATTATTGGTCCATGCTCACCTTGTGTCTGAGAATGAAAGGTTTATTGTTTGCCATACCTGAAATTCAGTGTGCACATCTTATTCTGCTCAGACAGATACCTGAAACCAAATTCATAATAGATTTCATCAGAAGTGCCTTTATAAAGCACATTTGATAGGTGTGAGAAGCAGGAGTTCACTCAGTATAATTAATAGCGCTGGCAGCATTAAAAATGCATGCCATGAAATGCCTAAGTGCTCTGTAACATTATTTGAGTCCTAAGGTGAAGAGTCAGCTGCATATGATATGTCTATTTGCTGCTAGAGGCTGTTGATATTCTGTATTCATATTTAAGCACTGCACAGAACATGCCATCAGGTTTCTGGTTTAGTCATTCCAGTCTCTGAGCAAGTACATGAATCTTGACTTTGCGGTCTGAAATTAGTTCTTCTTTTGGTCTAGCAGTATGTAGAATTTTACATTGTGTTGTGCTTTAAAATATGGAAAAAAAGCAGACCATTGTTCAAGAGCTCTGCCTTTCTAGCTGTTCTTCGCTTCTTTGAAACAATTCTCATTACATTAATTAATTTTTTTTAAATTAAATTGCCTGACCATATATCTCACAGCGTAACAGTGTCTTCTGTACTTGCTGCTGTCCTCAAGGGAAATGGTGACTTTTCTTCCCCAGATTTGAAAGGGAACTTGCTTTTTATCTGCAGTCTTTTTCTAGTGCTGTAACCCAGTGTCCATCTATGAACAGGGAATTTAGAAACAATAAAAAGGATATCTGCAGAAAGAGTGTTTTATGCATATGTAGTATTTTTACACTGGTATAATTCACATTCCTTACGTATATAGAGAGACTCTTCTTTTATAGGTTTCCTAAAAACTGTCTAATTTAGTCTAAAATGTTTTAGGACCAAACTTTAGGACTTCTAAGGGAATGAGTACAAAGTCATCATTTGATTAAAGAACATTAATACTTTATATTGCCAGTTTATTTACTTATCTGAGAAGGTTTTTTTAACTTACAAGATATGTAGCAAATTTTTATAGTCAGCACAGATACTACTGCAAAAAGTTAGGATTTTTCCATCCATAACCATTGCTTTTGAGTTAAATTATTCAGCCATCTCTGAAGATCTTATTAGTTAAAAATTAAGTTTATTTTTTGTTTCCCTTGTATTAGAAGATTCTTGCAGTCATTTTACAAGTCTCTGGCATCTCTAGGATTTGGGGCAAGGCTCTGAACTTGAAGGAAAAGTGAACCTGTTAGCAGTCATGTACACCTTTGTTCTCCCATGAATTTGTTTACAAGTGTCCATACTGTTAATTTAGTCTCGGTAGAGACCTCTGAGAATTAGACAAGTATGTTGTCTCAAAATTTTATCTATATGGAGCATCCACTGCCTCCTCAGAGAGTCATTCTGTACCTAGAATGCATATTTGACATTTTTGCAGGAAAAAAAAACCCAGTTACATCCTAGATTTACTAAGAATTTTCCTAAAATATTCCACCTTTGCCCTTAGTCTTGCTTCTTAGACCCCAAAGAGCAACCTTGTATGCTTGGAGGAGATGAAGGAGAAGAGAGTGCAGCAGGGGTCGGCAGACCCTACCAACTTTACAACAGCATCCACAAATGAAGGATAAAGATTACAAACCACAGTTTGTGTTCAAACCTATTTTACATTTATTCACCTTTAAATGCTTGACTTTGCAAGTCATTTTTTCAGTGTAGGACCTTTTAAAAATTGTATTTTGGAGTGTAGAGGCTAATACATACCTCTGCTTAAAAGGAAAGACAGGTGTGATATAGAAACAACGTAATTTTTGGCTTTGATACCAAACATAAGGTGGTTTTTTTGGTCTGATGTAAAAAAAGATTCTTTCTGAATACATAAAATCATTGCAGATGGTTAGGTTATAAGATAAGGAATACCTATGAGTAGTTGTTTTGGATGTGGACTTTTTTGATCAGAATTTTTTCTTTTCGGTTAAGTAAGTTGGTCTCACTGTATTTCTAAGGGACGTATCTTCAGTTCCTAGTTATCTCTACATTTGGCCTAAACAGTGACTAATAATTTCATCGGGGAGGCACAAAAGGTAGTATTAGAGGAACAGAATGTGAGTTACTTTGGTTCTCAGAAGGCAGGAGTCAGTGAAGGACAGACAGCACTTTTGTTACCCATACCGCTCCAGTTTTGCTGAAGCACACAGAATTTAACTTCGGGTGAGTCACTATTTTGCCTTCACATTTTGATTCTTGAATGTGTGATGCAAGTTTGTCTTCAGTTTGACTGCTAGTTAAAAAGTGATTAATTTGAAACTGTTCTATTTTCAGAGGAAGGAAACAAAGGTTATGGACCTGTTTTTGAAGAGCAACCTATTGATACCATCTATCCAGAAGAATCTTCAGATGGACAAGTTTCAATGAACTGCAGAGCTCGAGCAGTTCCTTTTCCTACTTACAGGTAACATCTCCTGTTTTGATTTTCAGATCTTGCATGTTTGATTCAGCAGCTATTTCAGATTGTGTTATTAAATGATTTACTGTCTTACAAGGTTGCAGCAAAGTCTTCAAGGCAGGAAAAAATGGGGAGATATGCAATTTTTGAGAAAGACTCAAACTTGATTTGATTTGCCAAAATGTTTAATCAGTGTTAAATACACAATATTATGTTAAATATTTTCAGCTTTTGAAGGAAACACTGATCCATATGTAAACTAAAAAAAAACTGACCATTAAAAAAAAAGAAGTTATCTTTCTATCTTAGCCTGAGGTTGACTGAGATTTGGGTCTTTGCTCTTTTTGATTCAGAATGGCTTTTTTTTATTCTCTTTTGCTTTGAACAGAGAAGTATTGATTGTTGAACCTGGATATTCTACATCCCATGTTGCTTTTTCATCCAATGTGTTGCAGAGCAGTGATCAAAAATGTGTCAGCTATGCTACTGAAGACAGGAAAACTTTGTTATGAGTAAACATCTCTACTACTTTTAATACAGATTCCCACATGATTTCATTCACAGTATTTATATTATTGTAGAAAGCAATGCTTTGTTGTGCATTCATATGAGTTTGTTAATCATTATCTGCTCATTGTGTAAAGAGAAATGTACTTAAGACTATCAGTATTAAGACTGTGACTAAATTACAATCTGATCATAGGAAGAAAACTGCTGTCATTTTACTAGAGACAGACACAATATCTTGCCAGCAAAAGAGATCCATTTCAGTAAATTACCCTATGACCTTCCCCCAGTACTCACTTATGTGTGTTCCCAGACTGGTTTCTAGAACAGAAAAACCTATCAAGTCTACTGGCTGTTCTTTTAATCTGCTACAGTATTGCGGTCAGCTATGGTATTCCTCCATCAAAACAGCTTATTTCATCTTCATTGCCACTTTTTAAAAGATGCTAACAGGTTGCTTACCTGTACAGAGCTACCATCTGAATATGATCTTGCTACATGACATTTTGTTGCGCTTACTTCCTCTTGCCATGCTTGGAAAGTGTGGAGAGATTACATATGCTAAAATTTGATACCCTTTGATATACTTCCCCATCCCTTACAGTTGGTCCAGAGACTCCCCCAACCCTGTTTGCAAGACTGCAAACACACCATCTATAGATTATTACAGTCTCTAAATAAATTTTGACATTCTTCTTTATCTGTTTTGGGCTCAGCAAAATCTGAGCTAGCAAAATCACTCTCAAAGAATTGCATTGCACCCCAGAACTTCTCTGTCTAGGTACAGATCTGACTATTAGCACTGATAGGTGATGTGATGATAATTGCAGTACAGAATAAGGCCACTTTTCTTATTTCTTGACATATTATATAGTGTATCTCAATATGTTATCTTCATCTCAGCCATCTAATGTTTATCAAGCCAAAATTCTTCTGTCTCAGAGGTAAATAAGTCCTTCCTGCCATTTTTATTGCAGGATGAGCTGTCCTCAGGACATTTATACCTAGATATTTCTGAACAGAGGATATATTTATTTTTTTTCTAACACAGACATACAGTATGTCTCACAGGACTGAAGTGATACCTCTAGCATTCTATCAAAGTGATATTTGCTGTATCTTTAAAGTTCTTCTATTTAATTAGATTTTTTTTTAATTTTTATTTTTTTATGTCACTCGTACTATTATTTCTTTCTATGGCAATTGCAAGTTCCACTTCCAAATGAGAACTCTGCATATTTTGGTACATCTTCAATAGTGAATGAACAGGTGGTATGTGTGTTATCATTGTCAAATACTAATGCCTAACCTTACCTTATGAAAAAAGAAAATATTTATGGGGAAATGATTTGATGATCTTTAAATGTATTAAAGTTTCAGCTTTGCGATTTGTGCACAGGAACCAGGCAGGTCCTTTCTAAGGTAACGGGCTCCCTCTTGTGGGCGCAGTAATAGACACAAATATAAATCATGAGTCCTGGTACCCACTCCGTGGTTTTTAACATTCCTTTAAACGAGTAGAAATCGATCGGAACTGGGCTGCCAATTAACGTCTTAATTTCTTAAGTGAAAATTACCGTAATTCACTGTATTGGGTGTGAGGTTTTACTGTAACTAAGGGAAGAGTGTCCAGCAATTTACTGAAGTAGCAGAAATAGGTCTTAAATGAAGCATGCCACAGTTTTTGCACTGACTTTACTGGCACGTTATGTTTTATAAAACATTTTCATTATCTGAAGCAGGTTTAAAAAAGTCTCTCATTACTCCATACTTTAAAAGTGCAGAGGGAGTATATTTTTTATGCAGTCTGGCCTTATATATTTATTTGAGATAGGTTTAAAATCCATGTGATTGGTGGCAGCTCATTCACAGTCATCACAAGTATCTCTTACTGCTTGGCGAACAACTATGTTTTAACAAACTAAGTTACACCTCTAAGAAGGAAGAACTGACACTGTTATGTTTAAAAGACTTCTGGCCTTCAAATCTGTGCCTTTTGCTGAAAGAAAACTTAAAACTTGTATAGAAGTATATTAATAACTTCCTGCATAGTTTGTCAGAATTTATAAGTTATTTTTCACATCATGTTTTTTTACCAGGTTTGCTTTTTGGGGCCAAATCTTACATCTGGTTTTTCTTTTTTAATAGGTGGAAACTCAACAACTGGGATATTGATTTAACAAAGGAGCGCTACAGTATGGTGGGAGGCAGACTCATTATCAGTAATCCAGAGAAATCAAGGGATGCTGGAAAATACGTTTGTGTAGTGTCAAATGAGTTTGGAACTGTCAGAAGCAGTGAAGCCACTCTGAGTTTTGGATGTAAGCCATTGTTTATATCAGAATATAGAAAAATTATGATTAGCTAGGAATGCCCAATGTTTTACACTGCAGTGTATTCTGCTAACGTGTGCTATATATGTATTATTCTGTAAAAACAGCACCTTAAGTGCCTTAGTCTGCAGAGATTGACACAAACTAACTTTGTAAGCATTTTATATTTAGCATTCAGCTGACATAACATTACAACCTTCCCAGTGAGTTATTGTTGAATTATTAATTGAAGAGACTCATGGAGCCAGATCTGGAGATAATAATGTCCAGACTCTTTTAAAAACATGGTAGGACCTGAGGGGAAATAGTCACAGATGAAAGACTCAAGTGAGGGCATATGGTGATGAGGTGTAGTGCAAACACAACTGCAGGAGGAATGAACAGCACTTGATAGTAAAGTATGCCCTCACTCCTAGGCTACAATGAAAAAAACCTTCTGGGGGAAATTTCTGTCAGCTTCTGACAGTCAGGAGCTAGTCTTGTGAAGACATGTACATGTACAGAACTGCATATCACCAAATACATGAATTGTTAAAAAGTGATGTACTAAATGAAGAGTAATGCAAAATTTTATGGACTTAAGACAGTGTTTGGGATTTTTGTTTGATTTTGCTTTAAGTTACCTTCTCCCCAGATATATTTTATCATCAGAGGGCAAAAGAGGGAATCCCCCAAAAAAGGAATCCACTCTAACTGGGGTCCATTCACAAAGCCCTGGGTGCCCTGACACTGAGGGTTTGGTGCCCCTTGTCTTTAATCAGCCTCCATAAGTAGAATTCATTCCTTGCTGTGTAAGATCAAACATGTACTGAAAAGTTCAGCTTTCTGATAGTTGTGAGAATGTGGGACCACAAATACTAGAGAAAGTCAGAAGCTGTGATGAGCTGGTGCATCAAACCATCGTTGATAAGTCTTAGTCTGTATTTACCTAGTGTATCTTCTAGAAAAAAATTGAAGGCCAGGTTGTTATGTCCTTTTGATGGAGAAAACATCAACACTCCATTTATGGAATATTTATTTATACCTCAACCAGGCTTCAGTCGTGTCAGTCCCGAATAGTCAATAGGATAGAAAAATTAAACCAATAAACCTAATACATGAAAAAAATAGAACCAAAACAGTCTGAGGCATGTTTCCAGAGCCTTCCAGTTCACTTGCTGCATGAGCTGAATGTTGATAGTGTACTGAAAAATTATGCTGAACAGAACCCTAATATACAATATTTCAATATGTAAACTAAAATAGGGCAAAGAGGTAAGGAATAGTGAAAAGATATCTGAAAACTGATACATATCTGTTAAAAAAAGCACCTGCTTTCTTTCTTCTATATACTGTTGTATTTTTTCCTTTCTCCTTTTTAATGATCATCTATAAAAACATTTCTTTCTACAATCACTGTTTCTAAAGAACTGAATATAGTTGCTAAAATTATTATAAAAAATGTCTGATCTTTAGTGTATTTTTTTTCTTTTGCTTATGCATAAACTGACTGAAAAATGTCAACCATCATTTAGAAGAGTTCAAAAGTTTTGACCAGCTGTAATTTTGTTTTGCTGTCAAGTTTACTGAAATTGTGGAACAAAACCCACGGTCTCTCATATACTTTGTCAATTAGTCCATCTGAGAATACTGTACATACTTTATAGATGCAGTGCCTTGAAACTCATTAAAATATTTTAAACCTAACTACTCTTAGGGATAAGGTCTGCATCACTTTTTTCCTTCCCCTGGCATTTACAATTATGATGACAAAAATAATGTGAAATAAAAAATAATTTGGTAATGACAAATAAGCAAAACTGGCATTAGGGGTCAACAAGTTTCTATTTGCTATGTATTGATGCATTTCTATACTAATTTCTACAGGACTGAAAGTAATGATAATAATAAAAAGTTACTGTATTTAAAAACCCTATTCTCCTCCCCTTGCTTTTTTAAAAATTAGATCTGGATCCCTTTCCACCTGAGGAACGTTATGAGGTTAAAGTGCGAGAAGGTGTTGGAGCAGTGCTTCTTTGTGAGCCTCCTTACCACTACCCAGGTAATTCAGCTAAAAGTGCTTCATTTTCAATGTCTCAAGAGTAAAAGATAAATAAATATTTATTTTTGCAAGTGACCTCTCTATTTACTCAAACAGTAACTTTTGTGCTGCTTGAGAAGCACCACTTAGGTTAGGTTTCTGTTTTGAATGTGTTTGTCATTGACCATATGTTGCCCATTCATTCCACCTAGTAAAGTCACCTCAACTGCTATGATCATGGGCTTCTATTGAAATCATGGAACAGCAGAAGCACCCCCAGAGAGTCAGAGATGAGCTTATTTATTCTCTGGAAGCGACTTTTTCTCATCATTAGCTACTGAAGAGCTCTGCAGGGATCATACGTGTAATCTCAAGCATCTGGAGTTCCATCATGAGATATGAAATCGGCTGTTAGCATCTCTTCCACCTTGTAAAATGGAATAATGATTTAGTTGTCATGTTCAGTTTAAGCATTGCAAGGAACTGAAGAAGGGAGACATATTACTAGTTAAAATATTCTAAGTTTTTGTCTAAATCATAAGACTGGTGAAAATTTCCCAGCTTCTTAGATGCCTAAGGTCAAGACCCAGCTGCCTCTCCCATCCCATCCCATCCCATCCCATCCCATCCCATCCCATCCCGTCCCATCCCATCCCGTCCCGTCCCGTCCCATCCCATCCAATCCTATGTGCTTTGGTCTCCCACCTCCCACGGTAATGCAGTGCACCTGCACTGCTT